GCGGAGGAGGAGGAAGAGGAGGAGGAGGAGGAGGAGGAGGAGGAGGAAGAGGAGGAGGAGGAGGTCGAGGAGGAGGAGGAGGAGGAGGAGGTTAAGGAGGAGGAGCAGGAGGTCTGAGGCGGAGGAGCGGGCCACGACGCCGCCGCGGCGCCGTCGATGGCGGCGTCCATGGTGGACGCGCGAAGACCAAACCATCATTCGTATATATTGTACAGGGTTAGCCCCTATTGTTTCCTGCCGCTACTAAGTACAAGAAACTAAATCAAGCATGTTATCGAAATCGAAATCGCCATCGTTCAAGCTTACAACGGAATTAAAGGCGCACCCATCTCTCGCTACGAATGTGTACTGCGTAGATGCCTCTTGGCCCGTCATGGGGAGCTGAGCCCGTCTTGGGGCCCTCTTGGGGCCCTCTACGACCATGTAGGGATCCTCTGGTGGCCCCCTTCGGGCTCCCTGGGAACTCTCTTGGGCCGTCTTAAAGCTCTCTTGTGCTGCTTGAAGCTCTTTTCAGGTCGTCTTGGCGTCCTCTTGGGGGCCTCTTGGGCCGTCTGGGGCCGATTTTGGGCCGTGGGGGCCGTCGTGGCCGCTGTTAGGATCGGAAAAGCGACCATCCCGGAAATATACGTTTTTCCATTCGAAATGCTTGATTTTTGCCGTTTGGGGGCCTTCTCGGCGGCCTCTTGGACCGTCTTGAGGGCCTTTGTGGCCGTCTGGGAGCAGTCTTGGGCCATCTTCGAGCGCTCGTGGCCCGTCTTGGAGGGGCCATCCCAGTGCGCTCTTCAGCCATCTTCTAGACAACCTGGGGCGCTTTGGGAGCCTCTTGGGCCATCTTGGGATGCCTCTGCGGGGGTCCGGGGCCCTTTTGGGCCCTCTTGGAGCCCCCAAGGCCCCCCCCGGACCGCCACGCAAACCAGTGGTCGCGGTTCCGGGCCCCACCCTGGCCCACTCGATGTATACTTGCATATGCCACACATCACTCCCCCCTCCTCCTCCTCCTCCTCCTCCACCATCACCACCTTATTGGCCACTGGGACGTAATGCGCAGATTCAGCCTCCAACGATCTCCGCCCTTCGCCACCTCAGTAAGCCTCCGGCGGGCCACCCCTTGAATCCCTGGCAAGTCCAGGGATGCCCCTTGACCTGGCCCTTGGGGAAGGCACTCGTCATCCAATGCATCCTTCGCAGCAAGACAGCCTGGGAAACGGGCGGCGCCGGGGGAAGGCCCAGCGCCGCGTGGGCTCTGGCCACACCCAGCCAGTATTGAAAACAAGCACGCTCCCTGCCGTGGGGCGTGGCCTTCGAGCACGCGCGAAGACGACCAGCATTTGTTCTGAGCTCGACTCCCTCCCTGCCACAGCCTGCACGCCTGCGGGAAGTGAGGCCCGGGCTGGCGGAGGCCGAAGAAGCTTCTGGCATCCCCTACCCCAATTGTAATCAAGCTTCGGAATGTGAAAGTTGCTGCGGCTCCACTCTGCTTCGGAATCGCTCGAAACAGTGAGATCCACCAGGATCTAAGAAGCGGACCGCGAGTGAGGCGATCCTGGATAGATGGATAAGCGGCGCCGGGGGAAGGCCCAGCGCCGCGTGGGCTCTGGCCACACCCAGCCAAGATGAAAATTAAGCACCCTCCCTGCCGTGGGGCGGGGCCTTCGAGCACGCGCGAGGAAGACCAGCACTTGTTCTGAGCTGGACGCCCAACCCCCATCAAGCTTCCCGTCAAACGAGGAGGAACCCCGACTCAAAATGCTACAAGGTGCCGCGGCCCCACTGTGGAATCGCTCGAACCTGTGAGATTCACCAGGACTTCGAACAAACACCCTCAGAAGGAACTCTGCTGGCAGTCCAGACGAGGACCTCTCGGAAGCAACGCTTTCCAAGACGCTCCTGAAATTATAAGACTTTTCGGAACACTGCTGGAGAATCCTCCACGAGCTGCGAGCTTCACGCGACGCAGCAGCAGAGGAGAACGATGAGCACAACAAAAAATAGAGCGGGGCAATCCCAGACAGGGCGGGCATATGCGGCATGGGCAACACACATCTAAACTGCACGAACCAGCATCTGTGCACCTCGCGACGACATCCCGTCAAAAAAAAACCGCAGTGCTGGCGAGCGTGCAATTCAGGCGTGCTCCGCGTGCCATCCGCCACCGTGCCCCCTGGCACGTTGGGGCGTGCTAGAATGCCAGGTGCCATGTGGTAGGGTTTCTGTAGGAGGAGGAGGAGGAGGAGGAGGAGGAGGAGGAGGAGGAAAGGGAGGAAAGGGAGGAAAGGGAGGAAAGGGAGGAAAGGATTTTCTAAGGGCCACCACCGCCCCTCGGGACGCGCCCAACCGCATGCACCAGCCCCTCTGTCCGCCACAATCCTTTGCAAAAGACCACAGCTTCGCGCTCCCGCGGCCCAGCTGCCTCCTAGACGGCCCAACATCGCTCCAAGGCGGACCGCTTCGGCCTCAAGACTGCCCAAGATGGCTTCCAGACGGCCCACGAGGCCTTCGAGGCGTCCCAAGAGGAACTCGAGCGGAACACTTGGCATATCGTCGGTAGGTTTTCAAACATGCTGTTCGGGTTCTCGCATCTCCGAGCGTGCGACGTCCCAAGACGACCCACGAGGGCACCAGGACTCCCCAAGAGGCCCCCGCGAGACAGCTGGGCAAGATTAGGCTTAAGTCGGGCGTGTCCCCCATGCAGGGGAATTTTCGACGAACAATAAAACATGCCCCCCCCCCAAAAAAAAACAATAGTCTGGGGACTATTTTTCTAATATTTGTTTGTCATTTTTACCTAACAGCGTAGACTGATAGGTTTCTAGTTGACTCAAAAGAGCTCACAGATCACTCCACAGGGGGGTCCGGGCAGGCGTTGGGAGTTGCCGGCCGGGCCTGTGCCGGGCTCGTTTTCACCAACAGTCACACACTTCGTGCTCTTCGACTTCCCAGAACTCCATTCCCAGGCCACATTCTGAATAACCGGATGCAACAGTCACACACTTCGTGGTCTTCGAGTCCCCAGAACTCCATTCCCGGGCCACATGTTGAATGCCCGGAGCCAACTGTAGGCCACTTCGTGGTCTTCGAGACCCCAGAACTCCATTCCCGGGCCACATTTTGGATGCCCGGAGCCAACTGTAGGCCATTTCGTGGTCTTCGAGTTCCCAGAACTCCATTCCCGGGCCACATTTTGGATGCCCGGAGCCAACTGTAGGCCATTTCGTGGTCTTCGAGTTCCCAGAACTCCATTCCCGGGCCAGATTTTGGATGCCCGGAGCCAACTGTAGGCCACTTCGTGGTCTTCGAGTTCCCAGAACTCCATTCCTGGGCATGAATTTGAATGCCCGGAGCCAACTGTAGGCCACTTCGTGTTCTTCGAGTTCCCAGAATTCCATTCCCAGGCCACATTTTGAATGCTGAGGCAGGCTGAGGCTGAGGCTGAGGCAGGCTGATGCTGAGGCAGGCTGAGGCTGAGGCCCGATGCAGGCTGAGGCTGAGGCAGTCTGAGGCTGACGCCGAGGCTGAAGGCAGACTGAGGCTGAGGCTGAAGCAGGCTGAGGCTGAGGCTGAGGCAGGCTGAGGCTGAGGCAGGCTGAGGCTGAGGCTGAGGCAGGCTGAGGCTGAGGCTGTGTCTGTGACTGCCGTTGCCACTGCGACTGTCATCGCGAATGCGACTACGACTGCGAGAACAGCACAATTCTACAACTGGATTCTCATTTGAATCTTAAGGGGAATGCTTCCAGATATGCTCCTACACATCGCTGTTAGGTTGCTTTGCCGGGATAATTTATGTATGTGTGTGGGTATGTTTCTATATGTCGACGAAAATCCCCCTGTAGGGGGACACGCCCGACATAAGATTAGGCCCTCACGTGCCCAGCACGCCCGAGCATTCTGGTCAGACGATCAGGCTTTTCTGCCCCGAGCGGCCCCGCAGGACCCCCATGCCTTCTCGAGCAGCTGCAGCCCAAAGTGCTGCGCTGGCACGGCGGCGGAACTGCCAGAGACCACTGGGCAAGGTCAAGCCTGAAGGCGCCGGCGAGCGTGCGCTTCGTGCGCGCTGCGCGGGCCGAGGTCGAATCCCACGGGCCCTCTGGGCGAAGGAGTCGCTGTCTTCTCTCTTCCAGATCCCCTCTTCCCCCTGCTCGGGGTCCCCCTTCTTTTTAATACACACCCCCTCCCCCACCTGACCGACGACAAACCTGGCACAATGAGGCCCCCCCCCTCGGCGTCCCCCCAATATACTTATACTGTATGCACGTCGCGGCGACGCGCGCACCGAGAAATCTCAGAGTACATGCGTCGTGGCGGGCGCCTCCTGGCAACACCGCTTGGGAAACGATGTCCTACAAGATGGGTTGACGATATGTCCGGGTCGGACGCACGCCTCCAAGACGGACATATAATTAGGCGGCGAGCGAGGGGGGAAATGAGAAAGGGCGGAAATTCTCGGAAGGCTCGGAAGTCTCCAAGCCTTCTGAGAAGTTTCCCAAGCCTTCCCCGAAGACAGAAAAAACTTCTCTGAAGGCGCGAGGGCTTCTGAGAAGCCCCGCCGCCTTCTGAGAAGGCCGTCTCTTTCTCAATTCCCCCCCTTGAGGACATCTCCCCCCGCCTCCCCGTGTGGGTGTAAACCTGGAGGCTACAGAGGCCCCGGGTGTGCGTGGCGAAAGCTGCCCCCCCCTGCACCGCCCCCCTCGCATGCGATTTTTCAGTTTTGGGCCCAGGGGGGAGGGGAAGGGGCGCAGCCAATCATCTCACGCGCCGTTGTACCCTCGTCAAACGTGGGGCGGCGGATCATGTCACCACCTCTTTCTGCGGGGTGAAGGAGGATGCGGCATTGAAAGAACGCCCACCAAAAGTCGACAGGGAATCGGCACCAACTCACTCAACATCGGCATTCGACTGCACCGCTTGGGCCGTCCCAGGGGCCTCTTGGGCAGTCTTGGGGCCCTCTCGGGGGGAACCTCTCACTTTGGCCACGGCGCCCCCCAGGTGGCTGCCTGGCCCCCTTTCACCGCGCGCGGCTCCAGCTACCCTGTCTCACTCAGCGGCGGGTCGCCAGAGACAGCCTCACCGACGAGAGGATCGTCGGCCGCGGGCCCGGACTCACCGCCTCACCCCTGCGCGGCCTTCTGCTGCCGTCCGCTCGCTGCTCGTCTTGTTCCTGAAACGAAGCCAGGGTGGGGATAACATCGGGTGAGGACAAACAGAGAATCTCTGAGATCCGGCGGCCCTGGAGGATGTCTTGGGCGCCGCAGCCTTCTCAGAGCGTTCGGGGACGCTCTGGAACGGATTCATCCTCGTCCTAACCCCGTTCGAACCCAGCTCTTTCGATTTGTGGGCTACGTGGTCGCTCCTCCTCAGCACGGCTGTCACCGGCCTACAGTAGGAGCTCGACCACAAGAAACCCTCCACAAGAAACCCGACCCTGAAACCCCAAGACGCCCACTGATGCTTGATGTGGAGACTTCACGTTTTGTTTGTTTTTGTTTTATACTGTAAACCCATCGAACCCCAAGAGACCCAAGGCACCCTGGAGGCAAGCAGGGCATTTCTTGGCATGGGTCTTCACCGTATCCGCACGCCTTCAAGAGGCATTACGGGCGCCGCCTTCAAGAGGTATCCCGTGACATGCGCACCCTGCCGTTGCAGAGCCATGACCGCACATGCTTTCACAAGTCTTCTGGGCCACTTCAGGCGTTCAATTAATCTTTCCTTGGTTGATGGTCGCGCTGAAAAAAAGAAACGAAGAGAAAGAAACAACAACAACAACAACAACAACAACAACAACAACAGCAACAACAGCAACAGCAACAACAACAACAACAACAATCATTTAAGACTGGGGACACTCCGTTCTCACCAGTGCCAGGGTTTTCATAGGAGGCGGGCAATACCCCCACTTTGTGGGGGGGCCGGTTCAAGCTCTACCAAATTTCCATACGACTCTTCGCCACCACCCACACCCAGCTTCCCGCCCTATGACGTTCGGACACTTCACTTCGTGGCATGCGGACGACCGTGGCTACTATTCAGGGCCCCGCGGCCGACGACGACGGCGTGCGCGCGCGAAGAAAAAACGAATGTGTCCAATATGGTATTATTTGACAGGGATGATGGCCCTGGCATGCGCGCAACCGTTGTTGCAGAAGTTCGAAGCACGTGAAAAAGTTGCTCGCAAGAGCCCGTTTGACAGAAATGTTGAAAAAATATTGGGTTTCCTCAGAAATCCGCAAGAGCGCGCAAGATGAATTTTTGAAACTTTTTTTTGAAAAACCATTGGGTTTTTCATGTTTTTATGTTAAAATCGCTACGAAAACTAAGGTTTTGGAAGGATTTCATCTTGCGCGCGCGAGTGTGCACTTCGTGTCATTTTTTTCAAAGGATTCTTGAAGTTTGGTTATGTTAGAACAAGAAATTTCATTTTATAGTGTTTTTTGCAAGGGAAAGCGGGCGTCAACAAAACAACCGGATCCGGACACCCACGTTTTGCCTGAGACTTCCTCACGAAAATGATGAAAATGTGGCTGCGGCCTAGGCGCGGCGAGGGGGGCGCGCACCAGGGGTCCCAACAATAATTATTCTTTAGAATAAATAATGTTCAACAACAACAACAACAAAACGTGTCCGCACGCCAACCCGCGTCGGTGGCTGACGGCGCACCGCCGCCGCGCTACACCCGCATGACCTCCGGCCACCACTGGCGCGCCGCCGCGCCCCCTTCGCGCGCTCTCGTGTTAAGTCGGGCCTGTCCCCCTACAGGGGGGTTTTCGACGAAAAATAAAAAAATACCCCAAAAATATTCAACAAATTATCCCAACATGCTTTGAGGACTATTTTTTGAATATTTTTTGAACTTTTCTGGGTATTATTGGTGTACTTTTTATTTTCGTCGAAAAACCCCCTGTAGGGGGACAGGCCCGACTTAACTCTCGCGCTGGTAAAACAAATCATCAAAAAATGCTATGAGGACTATTTTTTAAGTTTTGCTTGACCTTTTTGGGGTATGGTTGGGGGTATGTTTTCTTTTTCGTCGAAAATCCAAAATACTCTGAGGACTATTTTTTGAATTTTGTTTGACCTTTTTGGAATATTTTTGAATATGCTTCATTTTCGTTGACAAGCCCCCTGCAAGAGGGCCTTCGACGAAAAATCATAAACACCCCCCAAAATAATCCAAAAACCATGAGGTCTATTTCCTAAGTTTTTTCTGACCTTTTTGGGGTATGGTTGGGGGCATTTCTTAGTTCTCGTCGAAAAGCCCCCTGTAGGGGCAGAAGCCTCGGGGATCTTCTGATCCGGGTCGATCCAGACCCGGGTCAATCAGACCTGCAAGATCCTGCAAGATCCTGCACCCAAACCCGGGTCAATGCGAAGGATCCTGCAGGATCCTGCAGGATCCTGCACCCAAACCCGGGTCAATGCGACCCTGGCGCTGCAGGATCCTGCAAGATCCGGCGCTCTGGCTGACCTCCGTCTGCTCTGACCCCCGTCTCGAGGCTCCCGAAAGCCCGGCTTAACTCTCGTGCCGGCAGGCTCTCCCGGTCTGCCCGCGAGCGCTCCCGCTCCGCAGCGCCACCGCGCCCTTCCCTCGGGGGGGGCGGCCCAGACCCAGACCCCCTCGCGCCGTGAGAAAAAAAACGCGACGGGATCCCGTCGCGTTTTTTTTTGTCGTCGCGTTTTTGTTCGTCGCGTGTTTGTTCGTAGCGTGTTTTTTCGTCGCATTTTTTTTCGTCGCGTGTTTTTGTCGTCGCGTTTTTTTCGTCGCGTGCTTGTCGTCGCGTTTTTTTTTCGTCGCGTTTTTTGTTCGTCGCGTTTTCGTTTCGTCGCGTTTTTTTTCTCTGAAAAGGGTGAAAAACCTCAAAGATCTTGGATGCGTTGATCCCCGGCCGAAAAGAGCGAAAAAACTCGAATTGTTTCGCTCTTTTCGGCCTCCGGGGGCCCTTCCCGGGCCTCGGGGCCGGCAAAGAACGACTCAGGAGGAAGAACTGGTCCCGGGGAACGGGTCCAGACCGCTGGGGGTCGACGTTGTGAAAAAATCACGATGTCGGGGGTCTGGGGAGGGGGGCGTCCACGAGGGGGGGGGGCGCGAGTCATGTCCGGCGGCACGTGCGCGGCCCAAGGGGGGCCGGGGACGTATGGAAATGAGAAGGGGCGCCGTGAGATCTGGGGAGATAACACAGCCCCGCCATTATGTCCCACCCCCGAGCCTCTCTTTGCGGCCCCCGATTCCCCATCTCGCCGTCGCTCGGACGTCCACTCCCCGTGCACTTTCCAAAGTCGTGCGTGCACCGTTCTTGCTCGCAAGAGGAGCCCACATGTTCCTCGAGGCTTCCGCCGGGAAAACCACGCACGCGCCCGAGCGGTGACGAGCCATCGGCTTCGCTGATCGACGCGCGCTTAGCCTTGAATGTCGATGACCTATCCCGCCCGGAACCACTCGGAATGCGGCGCCGGAGGCTTTCGCAGGAGCGCGTCTTGCCAACGGATGTGCTGTTAATTGTTGCTGGGAAAACGAGGAGGAGGAGGCGCACCCCTTCACGAATCCAGGTCCCTACCCCGCGGCTAAGGCCCTGCCTGACCTGGCGAGACCGCCGACCAGAGGCCCGGAGTCGGCCAAAAACAGCAGCCCGCGCGTCGACAGCGGAGGGGCGGCGGCAGCGGAGGCAGCAGAACGTAGAGTGCAGAACATCTAATGCGACAGCGTGCGAATACAGTGACAACGAGGAGGAGGAGGAAGAACAAATACCCATGCGAGCCCAAGGTCACGGGCAAGTGAGGAAGGAGAGAACGAAGACGATCAACTACAATAGGGCACCTGACATAGTGATCGAGGAGATCTGCTGCAATGATTTGGCATTCGAATACACAAGGCCCAATGTGTTGTCGATGTCGCCGTGTAGTGTTCCACGCAGTGCATACTGATGTCAATACAGACGCGATGAACGAGGGCAGCCTGTCGCCAAGCCGACGAAGACGGGTGACACATAATTCAACGTCTTGCGGGGTGGCCCCAGGGTCCAGCTTCTGAATCCTCGGGGCCAAAGTGTCACAAATAGAGATCCTCAGGATCAATGGCTTGATGGCGAGCGAGATGTTTCTTTGGGTTTGCCTCCTGTTCGAGATGTCGACGGGTCCGAATAGGGTCTCGTGAGCCTTGAGGGTCCTGTACATCTGGAAAAAAGACCGAGTCCTGATAAGCTTGGGACCATGTGTAGGTGAGAACAAAATCACCCTCTTCCTCACAGCCCGAGACAGAACAGCCAGGGAATGGCATTCGGTTTGCATCCCAATATCAGTGGCCAGGTGGAAGAGCTAGGGGGGAATGCCATAGCATGGGGCCCAGGTTAGTAGCTGTGCTTCTCGCTCTTGAGCAAGAGCTCCACGCGTGGCACAATGAAACTGGCTGACGTGCGAGCAGTCAGAGCTAGCAAAATGTTGTATACGGCGAACGACGCAGTAAGACCTGTGGGGAGAGCCTTGACCTCACCGCCACGAGTACTAGTTGCTGCCCGACACGAATCCAGGCAGTCCTCGGAGCAGCCAGTCCCACCTCTACCCCCAGATGCAATCCAGACTGTCCCGTCTTCCACCCCAGTATATCAAGTCCAGCAGCTCGGCACTGTTCAGAAAATTACTGCGGGTTAAAAGGCCGCGGAACAACAATATTGCAATTCGGAAAATTAAACGCAAGCCCAGAGCATGGGGTAGCAAAAGGGCCCGCCATGAGATCAGACCTCAAAGCTGCGGCGAGCGTGCACTTCAGGCGCGCTCCGCGCGCCATCCGCCACCGTGCCCCCTGGCACGTTGGGGCTTGCTAGACTGCCAGATGCCATCTGGTAGGGTTTGTGTAATCCCACCAGCTCTCTGGATACAGGTCATCTAGAGCGTTTCCTCCTCCAGGTCCTCCCTACCCCTATTCGGGGAGGGTTGCCCTCCGCATCCGTGGGCCTGGATGGGGGTGGGCCCGCGGGATGGGAGCGTTCAAAGTGGCCCAATATGGCTTCAAAAGCGCCTGCGAGAGCCCACGATGGCTTCCAAGACGGCTCTGGATAATCGAACATGGTTCCAGGCAGCGTCCGGCACACCTCGAAGAGGCCCCAAGATGGACTCAAGACGGTCTCAAGTGCTCCGCTCGCTCTCCAAGGTTCCCCTCCGAGAGGCTGCAACCATTCGCACACCTAAGGAAGACCACAGCTGTTTCGAAGTCTCGCCTGTTCGCCTCCGATGGGCTTCTGGGGACTTCGAGGGCCCCAGAGTGCCCCAATAGGGGCCAAAGGAGGCCCCAAGACGGCCACGAGAGCGCCCAAGGGGCGCGCCCGAGAGCGCCCCAACAGGGGCCCAAGAGACGGCTTTGAGGGCTCCGAGGGGGAGGGGCGCTGACTTACGCCGGTTTTCTTGTTTCAAGCAGTGGGGCCCCTACGAAGGCGCCACGGTCCCCACCAAAACCAAAGCTACCCTGCGAGGTACCCAACCCTGTCTACGCATGCAGCGACGATGCACAAGACCGATCGATACAAACGAACATGTCGGAAGACCCGCAGGAGCCCACGAAAATGGCGACATTTGCGCAGTTCGCAGCCCCCCAGGGAATCCGCGAGTTCTCCGCTGGGTGCGTTTACAACTCCACTCCGCTGGGCCTCCCAGGAGCCCACGAAAGTGGCGACAATTGCGCACTTCGCAGCCCCTCGATGGGCCGCGAGGTCTCGACTGGGTGCGTTCACAACTCCCCTCCGCTGGACCTCCCAAGAGCCCACGAAAGTGCTGACAACTGCGCACTTCGCAGCCACCCAGGGAGCCGCGAGGTCTCGGTTCGGTGCGATTGCAACTCCACTCCTCTGAGCCTCCCAGGAGCCAACGAAAATGGCGACAATTTCACAGTTCGAAGCTCCCCAGGGAGCTGCGAGGTCTCGGCTGGGTGAGTTTACAACTCCACTCCGCTGGGCCTCCCAAGAGCCCACGACACTGGCGACAACTTCAAACTTCGCAGCCCCCCAGGGAGCCGCGAGGACTCCTCCAAGATGGCCCCAAGATGACCCTCAAGGCTCCCAAGCGGGCACCAAGAGGGCCCCAAGAGGCGCCCAGGAGGCCCCAAGAGGCCCCTGAAGAAGCCCCCAAGAGGCGCAAAAAGGCTGCCCCAAGGCACCTCAGATGCTCCAAGAGGCACCAGGGACCGCCAAGAGGCCCCCGATATTCCCCCAGAAGATCCCAAGACGCTCGCATGAGACATCCGAAGAGATCCCGAGAGGCATCCAAGAGGCCTCTGGCCTTTCTGCTCGCCCTCCTCCTCCTCCTCTTCCTACTCCTCCTCCTCCTCTCCTCCTCCGCCTCCTCTTCCTCATTTGCCTATTCCTCCTCGTCCCTCCTCCGTCCTCCCCCCCCTTCCCCTGCTCCTCCTCCTTCTCCTCCATCCTCCCCTTATGACGGCTCCCCCAAACCCATGATGAGGGCAACACGCCTGGGCCTCCGACTCCGCCCGAGGCCGCGCGTTACAGTTGAGGTTGATTGGGGAGGGCACGCGAGAGGACACAAGACCCTCGCCGAGGGCCACACTGTCATAGAAATGCAGAGGACATGGGTTAAGTCGGGCCTGTCCCCCTACAGGGGGATTAGTATGGGGACTATTTTTTGAATATTTGTTTGACCCTTTTGGGGTATTTTTGGAATATCTTTTATTTTTCGTCGAAAATCCCCCTGTAGGGGGACAGGCCCGACATAAGACATGGGTCGCGAACCACAGGACACGAGGGTACCCTTGATCCGGCAGGGCCGACCTCAGAAGAAGAACGAACGCCATAAACATAAACTTTTGGCGCTCCGCGCGGACTTCTTGGATCTGCGCTGGACCCCCTCCCTGGCGCGCTCCTCGTGCCAGTGGCGGCGCCGGAGGCGCCGCCAGGGGGACCCAGCGCAGGTCCAAGAAATCCGCGCGGAGCGCCAAAAGCTAGCCTCGTCCGACAAAAGCCTCTGGAACGGATATGTCCTCGTCCTAGCCCCGTCCGACAAAGGAACCTGAAAGGGCCTTTGCTGGCCCAAAAGGAGGCCTAAAGCCTAAGGGGCCTCTGTAGGGCCCTTTTCTCAACCCACCATGTAGATCGTCCCCCCATTACCGCCCGCCCGACCTGCGGGAAATGCTCCGGCCAGGACTCGGTAGATCCTCCTTGCGGTCCTCCTCTCGTCGGCACGGGTCGCCGCTGAGACGATTGTGCCCAAGCAAGGTGCAGGGGGGCCGCTCGGCCTCACCGGCCACCGCACTGGTCCCGTGGAGCCCAAGGCAGGCCATGGAAAGCATCGAGGGCTCCACGCAGAGGACGGAGGTGGACTCGATGTCGCTCGTCTGCTTGTCCACTGCCCCGCCGCTGACCAGCTCCGCCCGCGGCAACAGCTCGGGCGCCGCGAAAGCGCCGGCCACGAGCCGGCGTGACGTGCGGCTGCCCATCTTTACCGCCCCCCCACTGCGCGGCGGCCAACTCCTCGTTTAGAGAAGGTCTTCGAGAGTCGCAGGTGCCGAACTCTGTGTTGAGCAGGGACCGACCGTCCCGGCATTCCTATAGTCCTACCACGAAATGCTCTTAGAACCCAAGAATGTTCTAAGAACAGAAACAATGTCCTTAGAACATTAACCCGATGTGTGAAACAAAGACAGTCTCAACCAGAAACGTTCTAAGAACATGTCGTGCATGCCACAAAAGGTTCTTAGAACATTGTTCGGGGATGGACAGGCCCCCTTTAGTAAAACGTGGTTCAGTGAAAGCGACCTGAGGCCCAAACCTGGCGGGCGCAAGCCTGGAACATAACGGCCACGGCGCCCTCTCGAGAACCGAAAACGGACAACTCACTAATCGACGTGTCACTGTTGGGGGTTCTGTCCACCCCCGACAAACATTTGCACTTCCCTCCATCCATCCCCCCATCCCTCCCTGCGTACCCCCTCTCCTCCCTCTCTCCTCCCTCCCTCCTCCTCCCCTCCTCCTCCTCCTCCTCCTCCTCCTCCTCCTCGTCCTCCTCCTCCTCCTTCTCCTCCTACTCCTCCTCCTCCTCCACCCCCGAATTGCTTGCTGGGGCGATAGGCGAGCCGGGACGCCCCGCCACTGCTGGACCGTGGCGGCCGGAGCGCACGAGGTCTGCGCGGTGGCCCGGCACGGCCCTGCCGTGGCCCCCTCCGCGGGGGAAGGGCCCGCGGGCCGTCCCGGGGCTGCCTCGGCGCGGGCGCCGCGCGGGGAGGCCTCCGCCCACGCCAGCGCTGGCCCTGGCCGCTGCTCGCGGACGCCAGGGAGATTCCCAAAGGTCCAACGTGTTGACAAACATCGAGACGGAGGTTTTTCATATCTCTCGGCCTCGAGGGGCCCTCGCCGGGCCCCGGGACCGTCAAAAAACGACTCAGGATGAGAAGCCGGTCCCGGGGAATGGGTCGAGACTACTGGGGACACCGTATTGAAAAAATCACGACGTCGGATCTCTGGGTTCTCGCCCGCAAAACTCGCCATCCCTGCGGTGCCTGGAGGGGGGATCCTCTGGTGTTGCACAGAGTGCTTCGCCCCAACTGGTCGCCGCCAGGCTCCCTTCGTATGGTAAGACAGAGCTTCGTCCACTAGTACTTGAGCCAATCTATTTGATACAGCTTGCAACCTTTGCAGCGGTGTTGGGAGGCCGCTGGGGCCTCCGGAGATCTCAGAAGCATCATGGTGGACTACTGGTCCATCTCTGAGACGTCGTGGAGTGCGCTGTGGTCCCTCTCAGGCCGCATTGTGCGGGGACTATGGGGACCATGGGTTGGCGGCGCGCACAAGGGGGTAGGGGGAGGGGGGAAGGCTTCTTAGAAGGAGGCTGCTTCTTAGAAGGCGCCGGCCTTACATCTACAGAGAAGGCCCGCGCCTTCTAAGAAGCAGGGGCGCTTCTAAGAAGCCTTCCCCCCTCCCCCTACCCCCTTCTGCGCGTGGCCAGATGGGGACGTCAGGAGGTCTTCGGCTTTCCTGGGACGGAAAGAAAGAGAAATCCGAAAAACATGCAAAAACCCGTGGGGAAACCCCCAAAACGGCCATTAGATGCCATCCGCTAGGGGGGACAGGCTCCCGGAGGGGGAGACACCGATACGCAAGTGGCGATGCCTCGCCGACAGATCCGCGATCCAGCCCCGATGGCGAGGCGTGACGGCCCTGGGCGGGGCCGCCTCGCGGGCCCCCTCGGCGATCGCGGGGCGATCGGGGGTCGATACGTCCCCCCCTGGGCCGGTCCCCCCGGCTGTTGCCCCTGAGGGAGGACCGAGGGGCGTTCTTATCTTAGCACACGGGGATGTTCGACGACAAATAAGAAATACGCCAAACATGCCCCAAAAGGATCAGAAAATACTCAAAAAATAGTCCCCAGACTATTTGTGGACTATTTTTTTACTATTGTTGGGTTTTTTTTTATTTTTCGTTGAAAATCCCCCTGTAGGGGGACAGGCCCGATTTAATCTTAGCCACCCCGTGCCATCACGAATGGAGGCTCCCCCAGGCGGGGGGCAGCTCCAAGGCGGACCCCTTTGGAAGGCCCCTTCGGGAGGCTCTCTTTTGGGCCGTTTTGAGTCTCACATGGACTGTCACAAGCCCGAGGCCCTCCTGGTGTCTCTTGGCGCCCTCTCTGGCTATTGGGGTGTCGCTGGGGCCCTCTCTTGGGCAGCCTTCGAGCACTCAGAAAGCCATCTGAGATCGTGTTGAGCCGAATGCCCGAATAACCTAAGATTAGGTCGGGCATGTCATCCTACAGGCGGATGTTCGAAGAAAATGAAACATAGTCACACACACACACACTCAAAAGTAGCCAACAACAGTAGACAAATAGCCCCCCAGACTTTTTTGGTGAAGATTTTTGAATATTCCTCCTGTAGAGGGACATGCCCGACTTAAAACCAAACATTGGCATCAAGTAGCCGATCGTCAGTTTATCCATGCCCCCGCTCGCGCCTCGATGCCACGAGGAGCCAGAGCGGGGAGAACAATAGATGTCTGGCCTCCGAGGCCCTGCTTCCTCTGTCGTCAGGAGCGGAGAGCAGCAGCAGGGGCATGGATCGAACTTCGATCGCCGCTGAAGGAAAATGGATCCCGGTGGAAGAGGGCCCTGTCGACTTTTTCCCAGGCCGCGTGTTAGCACCAGCGTGTGCTTGTCCACTGGAGCCCTGCAGTACGACGCTGGCGGTATGGTCGAGGCCAGCACAGGCTGCATTAGGGGGCCACATGCGAGCCCTACCCCAACCCCCCAAGATTTCTGAGGGGGAGGGTGGGGTTCACTTCGTCTGGGAGCTCCCGATCGAAGTGAACCCCACCCTCCCCCTCAGAAATAGTGGGGGGTAGGGGTAGGGTTCGCATGTGGCCCCCTAATGCATACTTCGGCGACTCCGAAGGTCCTGCCGCGTGGTCTGCAGAGGGCGTGGCCTGCAGCCCGCACCTGGCGGCATGTCGGGCTTGTCCCCCCCTACAGGGAGGGGGATGTTCGACGACAAATTTAAAAACAAATCCTCCAAACATGCCCCCAGAAGGGCAAAAAAAATACTCACAACATAGTCCCCAGACTATTTTTGGAATATGTCTTGATTATTGTAGGGTTTTTTGTTTTTCGTCGAAAATCCCCCTGTAGGGGGACAGGCCCGACTTGAACCCTGCGGGGGTGGCGCGCGAAGCCCTCGACAGAGCGCTCCCGCACGCGCCCCGACGGTGGCTCCGACAAGACCTTCGGCGCCGCGTGGTGCGCCCTTAGAGTCGGGCGTGGGCAGGACTGGGTTTCGTGGAACCTGGTTTAGTGATGTGTACCGGGGGCGCCCCCCCCTGACTCTGGATTCGCCCTACTTTGGCTTTTTTTCCAACTTAAACTTGCGTCGGAAAGCCACCCATAAGAGGCCGAGAAAGTGGGGCGGCGATTTCTGCACCCAGCGTAAAGTTGGGCGGAAATCCACAGAAGTAGGGCGAAAACAGCAACAGAAAAGTAGGGCGGAAATTAGCATCAGCGGGGCTTGAACAGTAGGGCGGAAATTCCAAGCCCTACCTACGAATTTCCCCAAAGTAGGGCGGATCCGGAGTCGGGGCCCCCGCCCCATTTCCACTAACCGGAACTGCCGTCACCCGAAAAACGCCAGCTACGGCAGACCTGGTTTAATGATTCTGGCCGATTGAGAGGCCCCAGGGCCCTACCACCAACCAGGTCCCCTTACCCGGGGTCCTGGCTATACCCGACCTTCGAGGTCCCAACGGCGCCATTCGCCAACCACACGTCGGCGTAACCACACCCTTCGCGACGTGTTCGTCGAACCTGGACCCCTTGCCAGTCATCACCCCTGGGCCGTCTTCCGCGGTCTTCCGCGGTCTCCTTCTGACGGTCGTCGGAGGTTTTCGGCGGTCTTCGGCGGCCTTCTGACGGTCTTCGGCAGTTTCTGGCGGTCTTTGGCGGCTTCCAGCGATCTTAGGCGCGAAAGCTGGACGGTTGGTTGCTCCCAACAAAAGGCTCCATTGACGAATACCTGGCCCTTGTAGTCGCCGAGAGCAATTTGAAAAAGTCAAACATAAACCCGCCACTCGGAAAAAATATGTTGAAACATGAAACAGGAAGGCTGCTAAAGTGGATTGGGCTCGGACCGGCCCGAATAATAACAACACTTCACAACACATAGAACGATTTGATGTGTACGGTAGAACAACGCTGACAAGTATATTGGAATCTGGCAATGCAGAAATACCTGCACGTCGTGCATTTCTAACGTGCTCATTTCTGATTGTGCTCGTTTCTAACCGTTCCTGGCCCCCTTGTGGCCAGGAAGAGGCCCAGGATAGAACACTTAAAAAATCAAAGGACCTCGGCCCCCCCCAGAAATCCAAGAACTTTCGAGAACATAGGAATGAACAACATGTGTACTTCTCACGACCAACGTGCACTGAAAATTTCAGGCGGGGAAAAACACAAAGACACAATCAATCGTCGACCCCCAGGAAAATATGAGAAAATATCGGAAGCGGGGGGGAAGATAAAAACCTAGAACATATGGGAAAGTAGGGGAAACATGTCATTTGTGTATCTATTTGTGTGTCCTGGGGCCCCTTGAAAACTGTTGAACACAAAGGACACGCCGGGATCACACACGCGGGCCCCTCTCTGACGGCCCCGCGCGCTCGGGCCCTCGGGCAGAGCCTCGAGGGGAACCTCCGGCGCGAGGCAGGCACAGCCTCCAGCCTCGAGCTCCGACGCGGCACGCGGGAGTGCCCCACGACTGCCAGGACCAGGGGGCCACCTGCGAACCCGACCCTTAAGTCGGGCCTGTCCCCCTGCAAGGGGATTCTCAACGAAAAATAAAACATGCCCAAAACATAGTCCGAACATAATCCAAAGATAGTCTGGGGACTATTTTTTGAATATTTGTTGACCTTTTTGGGGTATGTTTGGGGTATTGTTTATTTTTTGTCGGAAATCCCCCTGTAGGGGGGCAGGCCCGACTTAACCCTGCCCCCACCCCCCACGATTTCTGAGGGGGAGGGTGGGGTTCGCTTCGCTCGGGAGCTCCGAAGGACGTGAACCCCACCCTCCCCCTCAGAAATCGTGGGGGGTAGGGGTAGGTAGAGGCCTCCCAGATGGGATCCG